GAACATCTCTGTTGCCAAACTGACTCAATGTATTTTAAATGAAAAGCATCACTTCTGTGCACAAACATGTGTGACTGGTAGGATAATATATAATGCATCTGATTCTGCCCTTTGAAGAGGGGATTACAGTTTAATTGGCATTATCTGATATGTGTTATGCCTCACCTAAGTAAGCAACAATCTTCACAAAGAAAAAAAACCCACCTTCTAATATTTTAACACTGTCTGATATCATTAGTCTGTGATGTATGATTTGATTCTTTTTTCAGAGAGAAAATGAGCATGAAGCTGCCCTCAGTCAGAGGTGGTTAAATAGAAACACAACTAGACAACTTTTGATCTATTGTACATTGGGGTGTCTCTATGATTACGGCAACCATTGCATGACTGATGACAGCTTTTCTTCTGCTCTACTTAGGGTACAATTTCTGCATTTTCTAGGTTAGATTTTTCCCAGAAACTCTGTCTTTTTTAACTTGGTCAGAAAAGTTGCACGAAATCCTTAAATTGATTGTTTTTGGAACATTTCCTGTTATCAAACTCAACGGTAGTTGTTCTGGAAATACCTTAAACCTCATTAAGGTTTGGGCAATAATCCATGAGTATAAGAAAAATACATTACCAAACATCAGTGTGGGCACAGCTGTTTTTAAGTGTTTACGTATGTTTGCTTGGACATTTTGTCTGAGTTAATATTCACATCTCGTCAGAAGACCTGTTCAAGATTATTTTAAAGTTGGAAACGGACCCACATATCACAAGGCATAAAAACAACTTAAAAGTTTTTTTTTAAGTGGTTGTGGCTTTAAAACCCAATTATTTTAATGGGTATCAAATCAACCATGTCAACATTTCTGCACCACATGTTTGCTCCTGTCAGTCAGATTCCTCTCGGCAGCACCTGGGAACATTTTAGTGTACTCTGTGATTTCTGCAGTGTAGATTCTGAGATAGTGAGGCAAAACAAGTTCAAATCTTCCAGCTGATACTGGGCTTTAGCAGGGGGGACAGGAAGAAACTCTGTCTTCCTTTCTTCCACTTAGAAATTCAGAGTTCTGTCGCTGCATTGATAACATATCAGTGACTTGGAAGAGATTTGCTGTAACCTTCTTCCCAGCCCTTTACATTTCCACTGGCCCAATGAGGGGGGCTAGTAAAAGAAAAAAACAATTGTCAAAATACTCTGCTGGCCCACAGGCCATGGAGATGTCACTCTTCTGTCTCTTTATTTCCCCTGTTCCTCTGCCTCACACATTTTCCTCATCATACTCCCCCTCTCCTCGTTTTTGTCCGTGTCTTTCATTTTCACTATTGTCGTCCTGCTCCATCTCCAGCCCCTCCCTCCGTCCCTGCTTCTCTCTCTGTGGTGCAGTGCCGGTCCCCTCATTCTGCATGCCTTCAAGCTGTCTTTCTAATCCTGAATTATTCAAGACACTTTCGCTTCTTCTTCTTCCCTTTTTTACCTAACACGTCAAGTAAACTACACAAAACAGGGTAACTGAGGGGGTGAAAATGACATTTACAGTTCATTTGCATTGAAATCATTTATCGCCGGGAGGGGACCCTTGACTGCAGCCCTTTCTAATCACACAGTAATTATCCAAAACAATGTCACCTTTCTTACTGTGTGAGTTGAGTGGGATTTCTGTGGTGGACATTGATCGTTCACAGGCCACGGTACACCCATAATTTTATCACAGTGAAACTACAGACATTTCCTTCTACCTCTGCCACAAATCCAGATTAACACCTCTAAACTGAGATTTAAACAGGTCTCTGTTGTTTCAGGGTGCTGCCGGCTATTGAGCTCATTGCATTAGAAGCTTTTCCTTTGTTGTGGAGAGTCAATAACCCAAATGGATCAAGGTGCACACTCAGGAGCACATGAGTGTCCTTTAAGATCCTGATGGAAGTAATCAGCAAAGTGCACTTCAAGAGAAACACAGAGACGGACCTCTGTGTTCAAACGTGCTTTTGTGATTTCACCTCTTTTCTCTTTCCAGACTTCTTTCTTTTTTTTCTCTTTTTTGTGGCTTTTTTTTGGCGGAAAGGGAAGATCAAGAATATTGGCGGAGTCAATACCTTACGTCAGTTCCGACCCCATACAGTGCCACAGCTTTTACTGCACAGAGAAAAACTTCTGCGATAACGACATCCTTATGAGAGTCCAGTGACACCCGGGCTGCTGTGTGCAACGACAAACTCTCGGATTTCGGTGTGGTCACTGAAGTTTTCCCACTGAATACAGTCATCCATCTATAACACACCTCCTCCCATTGTTCACTGCCCTTACAGAGAAGTGATTCCTTGTCTTTAAGATCTGACGATTGCTTTAACTCATACACACACACACACACACACACACACACACACACACACACACACACACATTTCCATAATCTACACAATCTCGAAAAACTATAACAACTTGCTAACAACATGATAGATGAAGTAAGAGACAAGCTTTCATGGCTTCAGTATGAAATGTATTATAAGTGTGCTGATCATGTAATAAAGTGTCAAGGATAACAACTAAAGGAAACAAGTTATTTGCATGAGTTCAAGAGCTGATTCTAAACTGTTTTTATTTTTTTCCCACACATGCATCACCGTAAATCATGTTAAAAGGTGTAAATTAATACCTCTAGTTTTCAATTTAATAATAAAGGTAACAATGAAATATTTGTGTATTTTCTGAATGCTGGGATTTAGCAGTGTTTACAATACATATATACAAATTATGTTCTACCTCTTTTTCCTTTGTGCTTGTAAAGCACTTTGAAATAGAGGTTTTAAAAATGCCACATGTGTAAAAAATGTACTACAGGGCAGAAACATTGGTAGGGTCACCTATATTTGAAAAAAGCATGCAGACTGGCATTGGTTACCTGAAAATAACCCATATTTAAAGAGTTAAAAAACACCTTATGCCTCGGTCACATTGCTTTTGTTAACACATTATGAGTCTCAAGAATCAAAATGTAGTTATTTCCACAAAACTGCGCCTGTTGATTTAGCAACCTTCACATCTGCGGGCGAGAATATGTCAGAGCTTTAGAAACGGACGTCACAGCACACAAAAACCCTTTAAACAGCTGCTGTGTGTCAAAGTAGCTGACATGTGCCGTGACTGTCAAACAATATGGAGCCTCTTTTTCCTGCAGACGTGCAGCAGAATGGGAAATATAAAGGTCTTAATTTATGTGGAGTCAGACTGAGGTTTTAGTTTGGGTCTCTATCATCAACATCTTTCTGCCTCTCGGCCCCTCGTCATCCGTCTCAATGTACACCTCGTCAGCAGGAGCCGGACTAACATCAAATTACCGCAAGCCTCTATAAATCCTCACAATTTAAACACTTTTCTGTCCAATAGTTAAAATAAATTCAGCTAACTGAAAACAAAAACAATGCCAACAGGGACTGCCAAATGTCACAAGGCCTTAGATGGAATGATGAATACAGATCTGGGTTCAAGATGTCATGAAATCATCACACACAAACACTGAAAGCACATTTTGGAAAATCTGACAGCTTGAGAGACGTGTGACATTCCCACAATTTGGTGATGCACACTCTGCTTAAAATACAGCAACATAATTCAATAATTTCATACATCTGTATAAACAATCTTCCAGTCACCTCTCACCACAACTTCAGGCATGTTTGCACAAGACCGAACAGACTTAAATTGAACTTAAATTGATTATTAATAGACCTGGACAGTGATCCGAGATCCTACAGAATCTGTAACCTACAGGTTCATATGTCTGTGCCAGGTTGTAATAAAACACAGCTACTGTAACCTTGATCACTTTGATCTGTCTGCAGCTGATAAAACATGTTGGTCTCAGACACAAAGAGCAGCAGCATAGATATGATCAGAGATTTGCTTTTGTTTGATTTTGTTTTAGATAATTCTGTGTTATATAATGATAAACAAGCTGAGAAAATGGCCATGTATATATATTTAAATGCCTCAATGCCCATTTTCTGAGCTTGTTGTTCAGTTCCGCCTTCATCAAAAGTGTTAGAGAATCACGTTAATAATAATTATGAAAATATCCAAATTAAAGCAGCCTAATTTTAACTGTTGTTATTTTGTAATTATATTAAAAACATAGAATGAATACAATAAAACTAGAACCAAATTGCATAATATTTTTTTTTAAATGAAGAAAACAATTACATTATATCTTAGAATGTAATAACAAACTAATAATTTATGAATGAATAATGACACATTTATATTTATATCCTCAACCACAACACCTGACATTTTGATACATCCTCTCAGAGTGATTTTGATGTGGGAAAAATAATTACTGGACGATTAAAAAAAAAATAATCAGTTCAATTACCACTGAGATGGGTTTGTTGCAGGACTCTTCGGATAAATGAAAAGGCATCGCTTTATTGCAGCGGTAAAGTCGAGCTCTGGGAAATGTTCCTGTGCATGATTAGGCTCAGTGGTTCCGTTTGAGGTGGTTTAAAAGCCTCCATTATGGCCTGCAGCAAGCTAAATGGACTGTCAAATTGCATTTTCATGTTGCATGTGACTTGTGCCCAATTTTATGCTCGTGGACGTGCGCCGCAATATCAGAAAAAAAAAGTGGCTATGTTTGGTGTGGTTTTTGTTTAAAGGGAATGTTCGAGTTTGGGATTAATGAACTGTAGGCTATCTTAAAAATTAGTCGCATATTAGTCATAAAATATAACACTGTTATTATTATTATTATTATTATTATTATGTATTTTACATTCAAAATTCCATCAAATCAATTATGCATCAATACATAATTTTCCATAACGAAATTCTACGTCTACCCATTTAACAAAGCCTGATCTATCTTTTTCTTGAACTATGAAATATTTCAACCGACCATTAAAAATCAACCCCGTCTGTCCAGCCGCCACAAATCAAAAGTATCCTACATGTAGAGCAGCTCAGAGCATCAGAGCCAGCCGCTGCAGGGATGGGAAGGACATTTGGATGGACTTACCGACACACTCGTTGGCCTCCCTGGCTGTGGCTCTCTGCCACGGTCTGTCGTAGTGGAAAGGTTTGCACCTGTCGCATTCCGGCCCAGCGGTGTTGTGCTTGCACTCGCACACCAGACTCCCATCCCGGTCCTTTACGCACCGAGACGCGTGCCCGTTGCATTTGCATCTCCCTCCGACCTGCAGGTCCGACACGGCGTAGAAGTACGAGTCCCGGGCAAGCTCCGAGTCGTCCTCGTTCTCGTCGCCGAAAGTGTGCAACCGGCTGAAGATGACTTTAACGTCGGTGGCCGTCACCCAGTCCTGCAGCACCGGGGAGTTGTCAAAGTCGTGCGCCGACGGTCTGCCGTCCAGCGTGCTGAAGGCGATGAGCCCGCCGGTCAGAGGGTACATGTCGGTATGGGAGTCCGTGCAGACGGCCTCCTGCTCGTTCTGCTTCGTGATAACGGCCCGGTTCGGTTTGTTATACATCTTCCTGCACTGGGTCGAGTAAAACTGAAAGGGCACCCAGGTTTTACCGTTGTCCATGGACTTGTAAATGACCATGGATTCAGGTCGAGGCGAGCAGAACTGCAGACTCACATAAGTGACCTCAAACTTCTTTCCGAGGGACAGAGTCAGGGTGACATTCTGCGGGTACTGGACGAAGTTCTCGGACTGCCAGCAGGTGAGGTTGTGCGGGTTGTTGAGGTCCGTCAGGTACGCAGGAGGGTGGTACTTCTTGGGGTCCGAGGCATCGCAGGTGTGACAGTTCCTGGTCCTCTCGTCTCCTTTCTCCGCCGACGTGACCACGCAGTAGCGACCGGGCACCTTGCCGCAGGTGCTGGACACCTTCACTTCCTTCCCGAAGGCGGAGTTGACGAAGTCCGGGATGCAGCGCCGCGGGTTGCCGTGCTCGTCGTAGCAGGGGTCCGGGGGAGAGGTCTGCGCAGCGAACAGGCTCATCCCGTACCCGCCGAGGGCGCTCCGGCACGACAGGGACGCGGCGAGCAGCAGAGTCAGCACAACATCCACAGCCCTTGTCATGGTCGGTCCCCTCGGTCCCCAAGTGTCTGTGCCGCTGGAGGAGAAAGGGAAAGCATGTGGGAAGAGAGAGTGAGGGAGAGAGTAAGAGAGAGAGGAGAGAGAGAGAGAGAGAGAGAGAGAGAGAGAGAGAGAGAGAGAGAGAGAGGAGAGAGAGGGATAGAGGGAGAGTTAAGTTTGGTGATGGTAAAGTCATGTATAAATGTAGAAACAGACATTGGGGCAAGAATTAGTATTCGGCAGTGATAAAAAAAAGTAAGTATATTTCTATATAAAGATCACTTTACCTGAGGATAATTAAAAAAAAAGATGTCAAAATACCGACGATGATGTTCGGCTACTTTTCTATATCGGGCTTCAATCACAGCTCCTCCTGTTTTCTTGTTTGTTTCTTCAAATCTCCTGCGTAAAAAACAGAGGAGCGGCTGGATTTTAAGAGTCGCTAGTGTCCTTATAGCTAGTCCCACTCCTCCTGCCGGTCTTTTCACAACCTCTCTCTCTCTCTCTCTCTCTCTCTCTCATCTCGGATCGGTTCTCTTTTGGCACGGCTCCTTTAGGTCAGCTCATCTTGAGAGGTGACACCACGCAGGGCGGAACAACGACATCCACTGGTGGCGCGTCAGAAGATTGGCGCTTGAGGATGAGACGCAATAATGACCGCAGGATGAGAAGGCGCAAACGACTGGGACTGACGCAGAATTTGCGTTCAGTGTGATCGCCACACCTTCATCTGCACGACACCTGATACGATCCTGTAGTTTAATGGCCGGGATGTGGAGCGAATGAAACACACCATGCAACAACTGTTATTAGGCCTATAACCGCAGGGGAATTGCAATAAAATGGTAATTATCACCGTTTACATAATAAACGTTTATAAAAATACTTCTGATAATTTACTGCAATTCATCATTTTCTCTCATTATTATATCTTCCAAGACTATAACTGTATTTATTTATCCTGGTGATATAAAAAAAAAAACAATTAAAATTCCGGAGAGCATAATTGATGTCACGTCTCAACAAGGCTATAACTTCTATCTAATTAAGTAACATGATTATAATGGCACTGAAGATAAAATAAAAAAAGTCACATATGTCAACCAGAAGTGTCTTTGAAAACCATAAACACAACACACCACATAGGATCATGTAGGAATAATAAAGTGAGTTATCTACAGTCACCTAAATTAAATAAATGTTGTCCATCATCGAAGGAAATACAATTTGCCACCTAATGTGGAACTTTTAGTGCAACTTAATTGACCTCATAAGAAATTAAAAATTCCCTTTCCAGTTTTTAGGTATGTTTTAGATGACTGGGTATTTGTTTGCAGCGAGGTTACTCTTACTTAAATACCAATCCCTACACTTGTGCTGCGCCATTTGGATATCAAATGATAAGCTTCTACTTACATGTAACGGTCTTGAAAGAATCCAACATTTGCAGACATAGACTATATAACGCTTTTTTTTTTTTTTTTTTTTTTGCGGGATACATACCTCCTGTACAGTGGCTCTCGTACAGTCGAACCTGGTGCAGCTTCAGCCTCAACTGGACCTGTTGAATGTTGGCAATAGAAGTAACAGCGCCATCTTGTGCCCATAGGAAGACACACCAGCCCGGCCTGTGCAGCGAGCGATGTCATCTTTTCCCAGGCGGTGGAGGCATAACACCGTTTGTTTAATGAACATTAAGATGATTGGCTGCTGCGATAGTACTGCAATACCTAGTACTGGGTTTTGCAAGATTATAATACTTTTATACGACTGCATTTTTTCCCGGTAAACTCTTCTATAACAATGAGGGTACAAATCATATACTTAAGTAATGATTTACTACATGAATTAATGCGGGGTGTATCATGAGGTAACAAATGATTAAGTCACTTTGACTGAATGTGATTAGTTCACAGGTTTTAATTCAAGTAACTTCATACATTAATTGATATGGGATAAAGTTCGCTGGTGTATTTCTGATCGTATCTGAAATAAAGTTTTATGTAAATTAAATTTAAGTAATTTCTTCCCATATCAATTAAGTAACTGTGAATTAAGAGCACATAACAGATTTTCAAGTGTGACTTAAACACATAAAGGCATACTGTTAGTTACCTAATTTGTTACTTAATGATACATCCTAAATGAATCCATGCATTAAATCATCATGACTCATTCATTATTTAGGAAATAGATTACGTTTAGGATTTGTAGCCTTATTATAAGGTGTTACTGATTCCCCTCAGTAGGCCTTCAATATTCAATAACAACACTTAAATTTAAGAAAGAGGTTTGGTTATTTGGGACACTTTAATGAAACAATCCTAGGAACAGCATAGTGTATTCTAAACCACACAAATTAATACATACATAGGCTACCCACTCAGAAACTAGATAATTAATATAGTTATACATTTACTTCAAGAGTGTATAAAAGGCCTGGACATTCATAGTGCTCATCCCTTTAATAGGTTGTCCAAGTATAGGAGATCAAGTTAAGGACATAAAATCCTGGATGAGCTGCAATTTTCTGATGTTAAACTCAGAAAAAAATGAAATTCTTGTACTTGGCCCCAAAAACCTTAGAGACTCACTGTCTAAAGATATAGTTAGTCTAGATGGCATTACCTTGGCCTCTAGCACCACTGTCAGGAATCTTGCAGTTATCTTTGATCAGGATTTGTCATTGAACTCCCACGTAAAGCAGACCTCTAGGACTGCCTTCTTTCATTTACGTAATATTACAAAAATTAGACACATCCTGTCACAGACAGATGCAGAAAAACTAATCCATGCATTTGTTACTTCTAGGCTGGATTACTGCAACTCTTTATTATCAGGTTGCCCCAATAAGTCCATTAAAACGCTCCAATTAATTCAAAACGCTGCAGCACGAGTACTGACAGGAACTAGGAAAAGAGATCAGGCCCCTTCATATCTTAAAGAGCTCATAGTACCCTATTACCCCACTCGAACAATGCGTTCTCTGAATGCTGGGCTACTTGTGGTTCCTAGTCTCTAAAAGTAGAACAGGAGCCAGAGCCTTCAGTTACCAAGCTCCTCTCCTGTGGAACCAGCTTCCAGTTTTGGTTCGGGAGGCAGACACCCTCTCTACATTAAAGAGTAGGCTTAAACATTCCTCTTTGATAAAGCTTATAGTTAGGGCTGGATCAGGTGAGTCCTGAACCATTAGTTATGCTGCTATAGGCCTAGACTATCGGGGGATTTCCCATGGTGCACTGAGCTCCTCTTTTCCTCTCTCTTTCTGCACTCATTCATGTTCCATTAATGCATGTTACTAACTTCACTTCTTCCCCATAGTTCTTATGCTTTCTCGTCTCGCAGGTTCTCATGGATCCTGGTGGAGCATCCTGCCATGGTCCTGCTTGACTGCCATTGCCTATATCACTGATATTAGTATTATATTTATTATAAGTATTATTATTGTGCCTTGCATAAGCAAGCACAATACTACTCTTCCCCGTGCTTATTATTCTTCCGTACGCTTTTTCGGCGCGCTTCTTCTCCCGCAGCTTTTGTCGCACATACACAAAAAAGGTATCAAAACGTGCGGCTCGATGAGGACATTAGTGCTATGACTTTTCTAAGAATTTCGCCAAACGGTTTGCCGGTAAATCGCCAAAAACCGGTCCAAAAAATGAATGGGTGTGTATTGCGAGAACCTCCAACTGAAAAAAACTGCCAGAGTGCGTGACATCATCGCTAGAGTGTGGGGAGAGAGAAAAAATTGTGGAAAAATAAATTTGTAAACTGCTGTCATGGCCACAAATTTCACTCTACAGAAATAATTTATAGATAGAAACGTAGGTAAATTCGTTGGGGTCGCAGTGATACCACTGCTGAAGCTGTCAGACTAATAGTTTTGGCGGGAGACGCACTGATGCGCCAGCAACGCCCTCTCACGGCCCCATCTACTCCCATGTTAAAATGGAGAGGAGGAATCTTGAAAGGAGCTCGTTGAACCTCTTCTCTCTCAATCTCCCCAGGTCACATTTTTTAACTTTAGCCACTGAAACTCGGCAGTGCTATAGTCAACAAGATGACGACGCTCACGGTCTTTTCGGTTTTCATTTCGGTCGTTCCTGGCCATGGGTTCGAGGGGATTCATTTTAAATGTTTCTGTCTCTCTGAGGAGTTAGAGACAGAGAGAGAGCACGCGCAGCTGCTGTGGGCTCCCCTGATTGCCATGACAACCAAAGCCTGCCACACACACACACACACACACACACACACACACACACACACACACACAGCTAGCTACAGAGAATGACAAGGCATTAATAAGCTAGCGCTAGCTGGCTAGCTAAAGATAATTAGAAGGCGGCTAACAAACAAACAATTTAAAGCTGAATGATTTTAATATTAACACAAAATAAGTTCAATACACCTTAAATATTTTACCCTACTATGAGCTGTTCCTTAATTTACATTAGCACTCCTTCAGGAGCATAATACAATTAAACACATTAACCAAAGCTAGCACTTAGCTAGCGATTAGCGGTTAGCTAGCGATTAGCGCACAGCTAGTGATTAGCGCTTAGCTAAGCGCTAGCTTTGGTTAATGTGTTTATGTGTGCTAGCTCTAGCTAGCTACCTAAAGACAATTAGAGGGTATTAAAATGCTAGCTGAAGAGAATTAGAAGGTAGAAGAAGGTATTATAAGGCTAGCTAATTAATTAAAATGCTTTGCTTGCTAGAGAGGATAAGCTACTAATGTTCTAGCGCCAGATAGCTAGACAGAACAAGGAATGAATGTGCTAGCACTCGCTAGCTAGACAGGACAAAGGATTACTGTGCTAATTAAACGTCACAAAAGACACTGAAATTCTTAATTAGCCATCTATTTCAACTTGTTACACCTGACACAAGTTATACAGATTCAGTAATAAAACATGAAGTTAGATTTATTTTGTGAGGAAGAACTCAGACTGTTGTAACTGCCTATGACTGCACAGTAAGAATAGTTTTCTTTCTTAATTATGTATTATTTATTAATATAAATATTGTTATTCATATTATTGAAAGCATTACTTATTATTGTTGTTATTATTATTACTATTATTATCATTATTATTATAACTACATACTTATTATTCCCACCATTGTGGTTATTACTTATTTAGTTACTTTAGCAATTTTAATTAAACCATGCATAATCCCAGGACAATATTATGCCAAACTCCATTTAAGAAATACCATATATTAACAATTATTTGCGCTTACATAAAAGCACATAACTGTAGAAACACAAGAAAAAACTCATCATATCTCAACAGTCTTCTTGTTAATTCGGCATCAATATAATACATAAATGCCAACTTTTTGGCCGACTTTGTCGCATCAACTCGTTACCAGCCTCACTATTTCAGTGGGAGAAGACCGTGGCAATAGATGGAAAAAACAAGATTTGTCATTAAAATACGTGGTTGTTAGTGGATCACGCGGACGCCGAATTAAACACGGGTGTCTCCCCTCATTGTACTGTAAACTACTCGGCAATGTCAGTAATGTATGGGCCAGTGTCACGGGCCAGAGCAAGGCAC